CATGCACATTGAGCTGTAAGTATAGCCAGTCATAGACAAATATCATGATTTATTTAGAATCAAACATGCGAATTATTGGCTCTAAATATGACTTGGCTGATGAATAAATGTTGCTAGGAGTTATTTGTATGCTGGTTTTTTAATTATTTAGTCAGATTTGTTCTTTTCCTTGCATGTTTGGTTCAACGAACGCTTTGCCTAGTTACGGAGTTACTATACAATTGTATAGTTCTTGTTATTTCTATATGCGATCTTATTTACTCATTTTATATTTAAAACCACACTTACATGGTAGTTTTCTTGTCTGATTTGGCAGTGAAGATGGACGATTAAGCTGGGGATATTCAAGTTTCAGGGGGAAAAGAGCAACAATGGAAGATTTCTATGATATTAAAACTTCCAAGATTAACGGGCAGACAGTCTGCATGTTTGGAATCTTTGATGGTTAGATTCTCTCTTATCATTTCTTGCCTTGTGAAAGGATACGAAATTAAAGATATTACATATATACTAGAACACATTGTAAAAACCCTTAGAAGGCACCATCCAACAGGATATTTAGAGAAGAGCACAGACTACAATGGGCTTGCCTTTCCCCTATATTTGGTTTCACAACCACAATACTGATGGGCAGAGAAATCATAAAAGATGTGAGTTTAATTGTTGGTATGTTGAGTATTTGGTCGTTATGCGGCCATCTGAATATATGTGATAACCTTGGGGTAGGGTGTTGGGACATGCTTTCAAGTTACAACTTACTATTGGCGCAAGCCTCCAAAGTTGTTCTGGGTCAAAGATGGACCCACTTGATGTTATGTCTGTCGAAGCTTTCTTGTCATTTCATTTAAATCAGAGTAGAAGTCATTATGAGGCTATGACAGTCGTCAATCTAGATTATTTTCGTTTTATATCTCTTGATGAATATTACTAGCAGCAGTCTTCGTGGTGATCTGATTTGGATAACATTTCCATAATTTTTCCGGACAGCAAGATGTCTTTGATATCTGAATTGGATGATTTTTTGTTCCCTGCTTGTAACCACTTTTATGTGCCTTTGCAGGGCATGGTGGTTCTCGCGCAGCTGAATATCTGAAGCAACACCTTTTTGAGAATCTAATGAAGCATCCACAGTTCATGACTGACACCAAATTGGCCATAAGTGCGTCCAAGATCTCCTATATGCCGTGCTCATGGAGCATTTGAATTGTTTGATATCCTTTATTGTCTGCAGCTTTATAGAGGACCCAAGCATTTGCAAATATTTTTATATCTTTGTTGTCCTGAGTCTATAACTTGCATTCGGATGGGGTCCTACATAAAATGCTTCTCAACCCATTCGAATTCTGTCATTCATTTTGGATTCATGGATTATGGCTGCAGGTGAAACATATCAACAGACTGATGTAGACTTCTTGGATTCTGAAAGAGATACTTTTAGAGATGATGGTTCCACAGCTTCAACAGCAGTGTTGGTTGGAAACCATCTATATGTTGCCAATGTTGGAGACTCACGGACTGTAATATCCAAGGCTGGAAAAGGTGTTCTATGCATTTTTTTATTGCATATTGATATCTTAGTTTCACGCGCATTAATTTTGCCTTCAAATATTATTACTTGAAGATGATCATGATATGTTTTTATGAAATTGAGGAATGCAAGAGGCCAGTCAGGCTTCTTGGCAAAGGGAACGAGACCAGGCCCCATTTTCTGAAAGCATTTGACCTTTCTTTATGCTGTCCTTTGTCATAACTAGATAAATAGTCATGGTAAATCGCGGTAATTTGTATTTAAAATTTATGCTTATTAATCACTAATAAGTGTGAACTACAAAATGAAATGCATATTACTTTTTGCATTGACTGATACTTATGGTTTAATTAGAATATACTGACTCTAGATACAAAAACATGTTGAGGATTCGACATTTTCTAAATGGGATTCCTGAAGCAGCCTCTTTTTCATTTTGAAGCAATCCCTCTCTCTGAAGATCATAAACCAAATAGAAGTGATGAGCGGAAGAGAATTGAAAATGCTGGAGGGGTTGTAATGTGGGCAGGTAATACTGTTTAAAAATCTACCTTGTCTTATTGAAGCAAAACCAAGAATTTCCATTACATCTGGTGCTTAAATTGGAATTTCTGGCTCCTGAAAGTTTAACAGTGGAAATTTCTTGTTAATCTTGTTATCAGGAACTTGGAGGGTAGGAGGTGTGTTAGCTATGTCTCGTGCTTTTGGTAATCGCATGTTAAAGCAATTTGTTGTTGCAGAACCAGAGATACAGGTGATCCTCAAAATCAAATACTAATAAGCTAGTAATCTTTAATCAGCTTAATTGCTATTGTTACATTTAATTTTGCAATTACTTTCTCCCATCCTGTTGCCTTGTGTTTAACAGTAAGGACTCATTTAGGGAAAACATCATCTCAAGAGAATGATGAAGATTATAGCTTTTATTACACCCTTCCTAATTGATGCAACCATCCAAAAGTTAAATGTGTTAGAATTGGATGCTGACTCAAGAATGTGTTGTTGGTTGTTCTTTGATTTGAATATGATGGTGAATACCGACCCTTTGTCTCATTCAACTTATACCTGAGTTCTACTTTCTCTTGCTATATCCTATTTTGTCCCGTGATTTCTGTTATCTAGGTTGATCTGACTACAACTTATTCTACAACAGATTCATACTGTATATACTATTTGTTTTCGGGGTGGTAGGTCATGAAAGTGGGATTAATGAAATTTCTATTTCTTAATGTTTGTTATATCCCAGGATAAAGAGATAGATGAAGAATTTGAGTTGCTCGTGCTTGCTAGTGATGGATTATGGGATGTAGTGCCTAATGAGGTAAACGTCTCTCTGACATGTGTAGCTGCACTTTAGTCACCCATCCAAGTATCACTCATGCATTTGATAGTGTTTTTGAGCAAAGCCTAAATATAAAGTAGTTATTCAGCTAGTTTAAACATGTGAAAAGGTAGAAAAATAAAGGGGACTAACCAGCTCACATGAGCTTGCTTGATTTCACAGAGTGATCCAAGGACACTGTACTGGTTAATCAACATTGGAAGTCCCTGCTGTATTTTATTAGGAGATTTCTCTGCATGTTTGCCTTGCTATAAGTTTAAATTCTGTTTCCAGGATGCTGTTTCGCTTGCCCGAGTAGAAGAAGAACCAGAAACAGCAGCTCGGAAGTTGACAGAAACTGCATTTACCCGTGGAAGTGCCGACAATATAACATGCGTTGTGGTGAGATTCCACCATGACAAGGCAGATCCGGCTAATCCGCAGGCCTCAGCATGATTAGATTTCCTTATTTTATTGCTCGTGCAGATTTATTGACAATTTAGTTGGTTTAATTTTGAAATCTGCATGTGCCTTATGGCCTATGTGCATATATCAAGGAGACAATTTGTTTATTCATTGCTTTCCGTTTCCTAATCTGCTCTTGTATGGAATGCAAGGACCTAACGTCCTGTTTATTCCCGAACTAGTCCTATATCTACCCATCTGTGTGTTCATCTCCATGTTCAGTTAAAATCTAATAAAGCCTTAGTATTTACTCAATATACTAGCTGATCATCTAATAAAGGCTACAACTAATTTGTTTAAGCCTTTTGTTCATTTAGGTACTTGGATGAAAAAATTTAAAATTTTTAATCCTAAATATTAACATTTTACCCCGGAAAAAAAGAGAGAAATTAATCAAATATCAACCAAAATGAAGAATTAGAGATGGGTGGGGAAATCCCGTAAGTCCATGTAGACCCTGATATCGGCTGGACTTTTTTCTTCTTTCTATAATTTTGGTCTGAGAAATTGACTTTGTAAGCGTGCGCTTTTACATCATTGTCCGAAAAGAAGATTGAGTTATACTAATGCACTGCAAAAGGACAACGCATTCAAGTTTTGGAGATGGCAACCTGTACTATGGTTCCCAAATAAAAAATAAATAAAAGAATTTATTAACCATGGTTAGAGTAAATATAACAATTTTAATGATCTTTGATCATAATTATGTACACGTATCTATACTTAATTTACTATATTAATATATATTTAAAAATTTAAGAATTCTTAAAAATAAATATTCATAGAATTTTTTTTTAAATTGAATTTTTATCTTTATATATTTATAAAATAATATTTTATGATTAATTGATATTATATAAATATTGTATACAAACAATACGTCATATATAAATCTTTATACATAAATTATCAACACCAAAACCATAGAACTTATATTTTAAAATATACACTATAATGGTATTTTAAAAATTAATCGTTATTAACCAATGTATCTATTATTCAAACTTGATGATAATAGCATGACTATGAATCCATTTGTAATGGAGTTTTGTGGTCACGTTTATAATTAATGTACACACAACTTTTATATCTTTTTTTTGTATGATCTCTTTTTATCTTTATCAGATTTATGTCATAAGTATACTATGTACTACATTGTTTACGTATATTTATGTACACAAACATACATGTCATATGCATATTGCCAATATTTATTATTTATTATTTTTATATTAAAAAAGATAGATTTCAAATTTATTTTTTTTATCAAAAAGAACACACATTTTTATTGAATTAAATGTTTAGATATAATATATATTTAATTAAAAAATAAAAATTCTATCTCAACAATGGTACCCATTTTGGAGATGTATTATTATTTAATAAACTTTTTCCTTTTTGTAAAGTGCAAATAGAAGGAAGATGAAAATAGTAGTTCCTCGCATTAAAACATAAACAAAATCTACACTTTCATTTTTTTTTTCATAGAGAATCCAAAATAATAAATATTTCACCTAATTTGGGAATCCTACAAACCCATCACAAGAGTTAAAAACCAACCATGGTTAAGTTTTTTTGCATCAAAACCCATTAAAAAAAAGTTGTATTAGGGTTAACACAAAAAAAGTTAATACTATATTAAACCAACCCCATACTTACTTTCCCATTTTTTTCCCTTTTATTTTATTTTAATTTCTTGGAGCCAACTTGAGGGGAAAAAAAAAAGAAAAAGAAAGAAAAAATTTTCCTCAGGTTCTCAAGGGGTTTTGACAAAATGGGTTACTGTACCTTATGATTCATGCTTGTCTTAGATTCAAAATTTCTTCACTTCAAAAGACTTTCTTTACACAGGTATATTTTCTATGTATATTTTTATTTTTACTAACCTAAGTTGTTTTCTTTTTTTGTTCATTTTGTCGAAGAAGTTTTCTTTTTGGGTGGTAATTTCTGTGGACTGTTTGTTGAAATTTTATAGAAATCTGGGGTTTTCAGTTTCTACCGGGTAACAGAATTTGAAACGGCCAGATCCATGGGGACCCTGGAAAGGTCAATTTACTCTTCAGTGTCCTTTTCCAGTAGTTCGAATTACAGATGGGATTCTGTTTTTGGTTATTCAATGTGGCCTAAATTTCATATCTTTTGTTTATGGGGAAAGAAATGCTGATGAAAGTTTATATAAGGGTTGTTTCATTACCTTTTAAGTTAATTTATCTAGTTGTTTTCCGTGATTATATGGAGTTATTTTGGGTTCTCATAGTAAATTTTGATCTTGAGAGGTTAGCATTTTGCGGTTTTAGGCTGTTGCAAACACAAAAAAAAAAAAAAAAAAGAACTAGTGAGGTTCCACGGGCTGGTTGCGTAATGGTTATATGTAGATAGAAATATTAATGTGGTTAAGGTTGAGAAATTGAGTTTGTCAACGGTATTCTCCAGAGGAGATGGTATGTTGAGTAAGTTAGCTTCATAACAGGTGAGGTGTAAAAATTCAACCGTCTGTTGTATGACAGTGTTGTTGTTGCCCATAATAAGTTGAGGAATTTTGTTATCTGCATCAAAAGAAATTAAAGTGTTGTTTTTTGTGTACTTATGATTTAGATCGCTGCTACGTATGAAACTTTTGACCATTCTATATTTGGAATGTTGGTGATTGGTTACTCTTGGTGAAGGTTAGTGTGCAAGAATTATGATGGAAAACTTTTAGTGCTATGCACTTGGTGTTTCCTTGATATGTTTCTAGAGTCTGAACTAGGTGAGGGATGCCAGAGAAAACCAAAAGAACCACAACCAATGTGTTTTATATATTTGTGTATGAAATGGTAACTGATGGTATCAAGCTTATGAAATGGATAGTTAAGTGTCTACTCAGGATTTTATTTATCCAATATCTTGTAAGCTTGTTGAAAGGCGCAATATTGTTATTTAGTTATTGATATAAGCAATGCATGATGCGAACGATTGATTGGGTCTGCAAAGTGGAAAGATCTCATCTATGACAACTATTGTCTGGATAACAAAAAGTAAGCATGTCTGATCAAGGCTATGGTTATAGGTGGGCCCAGCCATAAAAGTTGTGGGATTTGGTATGTGGCATTGTGCCTATGGTTAATGTCGTTTGGATTAACTAAAAGAAAAAAACTGCTTGTCCCTGTTTGAACAGGCATCAGCCATTGATGAGGTGTCTGGGTGGATCTATAGTTTTGGTTCTTTTGTCGTTGCATAGGCAGTTCTCAGACCAAAAGACAAGTATGTGTTTATATGTTCCGTATACCTGAATTTCCATTATCTATCAATGTTCACGTGTTATTTAGGCAGTAGTTGCATCTTTTCTATGTAAGAGTCTAAGTACGACATCTTTGACTATGTTCATAGTTATCATATTGATATCTGCTTTCTCCTCTTCTGTTTATAAGTACCTAATTTCCTCATGTTGGTTGAGTTCATGGACACATTTCCTTCTGAGTGTAAGATGTATTGTTGACTAAAGTTAACCTTTGGCCTGTAGGATTATTTGTTTCATAGGAAAAATATTCTAGTAGTTTGAGTTAAATCCATTTAAAATTCCCTCTCTTGCTTTCTCCTCTCTCATGCTCACTGGCACGAGAGAGAACTGATAGTAATTGCACCTCAATGTTTTTTCTTGGAAGGATAGTCTTATATTATTAATTTTACCAGCTCAAGTTGCATTGGATTGAAAGTAAACTTCACCATTTGTGATGAAATGGAATGTGTCAGAGCTTTTTAAGAAATGCGGGATATGGTATAATTATTATTTGAGACAGTATTATTATAGTTATGAGTTGCAGTTTTTGTTCTACGTATGCATTAGATATGTATTTGGAATGTATTGAGATTTAATAAGAATTTGCATTGATGCTTCTGCTTAAATAATGGTGATAGTTATTGGTAGTTAAGGTATGATTGTAGTGTCAGATAAAGAAATATGCAACCTGTGGTTAAGAATATGGATTTTTCTAGAAAGCAACCAAAACTTGAGTTTCAAATAAAGATTTGTCTTGTTTGTTTTTAGCAAAGTATAAGCTTATAGAACATTATCCTATTGGTATTGCATTTCCTTCTCAATTAGTTTTCTAATTCAGACTTGTTCTAATTTAGGAGGATTTTCTTCCTTTGGACCTGGCATCAAAAACTTGGAGCCGTTACCTCTGTCGTAAGGCATGAAAGTGCCTTAAGCTGCAAATCGTGGGTTTTGGTTGGCGTTTTGTCATATTCATAATACCTAGGTGAGAAAGTAACACATTAAAGTATCACAAAATTATGGAGTGCAACAAAGATGAGGCATTCAGGGCAAAAGAAATTGCTGAAAGGAAGGTTACAGAGAAGGATTATGCTGGAGCTAAAAAGTTTGCTTTGAAAGCTCAAAATTTGTATCCTGGGCTTGATGGTGTTGCCCAGATGTTGACAACACTTGATGTGTATATTTCTGCAGAGAATAAAGTGAGTGGGGAAGCAGATTGGTATGGTGTGCTTGGTGTGAACCCATTGGCTGATGATGAGGTGGTGAGAAAACAATACAGGAAGCTGGCTCTGATGCTTCACCCTGACAAAAACAAGTCGGTAGGTGCAGATGGTGCTTTTAAGCTTGTTTCAGAGGCCTGGAGCTTGTTATCAGATAAGGCTAAGAGATTAGCATATAACCAGAAGATAAATGTCAGGGGAACACAGCAGAAGTTTCCTGCACACAGTGGGGTTTCATCAATCCCACCCAGAGCAAATGGCTCTCACAGTTCTAGTTCTACTGTAACTTCAAATGCTAGGACTCAGAACAGTAATAGCCGGGTAGGTCAAACCTCATTTGCTTCTCCTTCTAATAAAAAGCCTGCTACCTTTTGGACTGTTTGCAATAGATGCAAAACACAGTATGAATACCTCAGAATTTACCTGAATCACACACTTTTATGCCCTAATTGTCATGAGGCATTTTTGGCTTTAGAAAAGGCCCCACCTCCAAATGTTTACAGGTCATCAAATTGGTGTAGCCAACAGAAGCAGGCTTCAGGGCATCATGCTACAAATAATAATCAATTTAACTATGGAAAAAATTCGTCTAGCATGCAAAATTCAGAACGTGATGGATTGGCCGGTCATGGTTCATCTATTAATACAAGCTTCCAATGGGGTCCTTTCTCTGGGGCAGCTGGTGTTAGTGGCACTGTTGCACCACCTTCCACCAGTGCCGAAGCTGCATGTGTTGTTCGGAAGGCACAAGAGAAAGTGAAAAGGGAGCGTGAAGAAGCCCTTAAAGCAGAGAGACTCCTGAAGAAGAGAAAAGAAGATATTCGTGTTAATGGTTATGTAGGTAAAATGACAACTCAAACAACCATGGGGAATGGACCTTGCTTGGGAACGGGTGTTTTTGGAGTGGGAAGTAATTATGGGTATTCTGGTAACTATAACAAGCCCATCAGTGAAAGAGAATTGTCATTGTTTGAAATTCGAAACATGCTGGTGGATAAGGCTCGGATTGTGATTCGTAAAAAACTTAAGGAGTGGAGCTCAGTAACTGAAACACAAAGTGCTGACAAAGTTAAAGAGAAGATCAGAGAGAAAGAAAATAGGAAACAGAGGAGCATGGCAAATGGAGATGCATGTGATACCAATAAAGAAGATCAAGGTAAGCAGTCTCCTGCTGCTTCTCCTGATGACTCAGATACTGGAATTGCACTATATTCGATGAATGTTCCAGATCCTGATTTTCACAATTTTGACTTGGATCGAAGTGAAAGTTCTTTTGGAGATGACCAGGTCTGGGCTGCATATGACGATGATGATGGGATGCCCCGCTTCTATGCTCGAATTCACAAGGTGATCTCCTTGAAGCCTTTTAAGATGAAAATTAGTTGGCTTAATTCAAGAAGTAGCAGTGAATTTGGTTTGCTAGACTGGATAGGCTCTGGTTTCTCCAAAACTTGTGGGGAGTTCAGAAGTGGCAGACATGAAATTAGTGAAACATTAAATGCTTTCTCCCACAAGGTTCAGTGGTCAAAAGGTAACCGTGGAGTAATTAGAATATTTCCTAGTAAGGGGGATGTCTGGGCCCTTTACAGGAACTGGTCTCCTGATTGGAATGAACAGACGCCAGATGAATTGATACACAAATATGACATGGTGGAAGTGCTCAACGACTATAATGAGGAACAAGGAATCTCTGTGATCCCTCTAATCAAGGTTGCTGGTTTTAGGACAGTTTTTCATAAGCATATGGACCCCAAGGAAGTCAGGAGGGTTCCGAAAGAAGAGATGTTTCGCTTTTCCCATCAGGTGCCTAATTACTTGCTTACAGGCCAAGAAGCTCATAATGCTCCAATGGGATGTCGTGAGTTAGACCCAGCAGCCACTCCTTTGGAGCTACTTCAGGTAATTAATGAAGCCACTGAAGCACCTGTGAAAGACAATTCTCGGAAAACTGATAAAGAAACGTTAAAGAGTGCAAGAGAAGGTGAGGCAGATGAACTGGTGGAGATTTCATCAAAATTGCAGGAATGATAGTTTGTAGAGAATAGCAAAACAGGCAAAGGATGGTTAACCAATGCTGCTTGCCGAGAGAAGCATAGGATGCTGATGTGTAGATGATGCTGAAAAGGCTAAGAATATAGAATATGGAGACTGCTGACCACACCAGCTTGGTGAGTTTTGATATTGTAATCTTGGTCCAAACTGTAGAAATTGCGTTTTTTGTTGTGCCATAGTTGGATCCAAGAGCGGTCCATGTTTTTGTATTTTTGATAGTAAAGCTTCATTAAAAAACTCATGCTTGATTATACTCAAAATTTAATAGGAGTTGCTTCTTGAACTGTATTCCTGTTGTTTACAGTAGGTTTTTTGCTACACATAAAATTGTCCTCTGTGTGCCACGATTGCGAGGCCTTACCCAAACACTATGGATTACCCTAAAGCCAAAGGAAGCCTTATTTTGCTACCTGCTCTGATGGTCAGGTTGAAATTGCTGAAGCATAACCTGCAAGCTCTACACCAATTCCCTCACTCCTTGGACCATTAATGCCTATTTGATCATGAGGGTGATCATAAAATGACTGAATAAGGCCTTCGTTAGTCACATTGCCTGTTGCATTAAAGACTTACAGTGCTTTTCTTCCGACATCCGACGGGTCAAATTTGTGGGCTTAAATTTCCACATTTTTCATTTCACATGGCAGTGAAACGTCGATTCTGTTGTGAAGTGCTGAACTTGAAATCTGGGGTCTACGAGTATGTCAGCTTGCCTTGGGGCATGGGCCGGTCACATTCACATTTAGGCTGACGACAAGAGACAAATCCCAACTGAATTCCACCCCTCCAGTCTCTTAAATAGGTTCGCCAATAAAACAAAGTGAATAAGAGATCCCTCCCCCATCATGTTGTAAGAAAAAACTAACAAAAATCAATACCGTTTATTGACTTCTTGTTCGTACTTCTATTGGCATATAATTCATAAGCCTACAGTTAAATGCATGGAATTTAGTTTGGCATCTTCCTTGTTGTTTATAGTTAGGAAGATATGAATGCAGACGACTTGTCAACCATTGAAACGGAGAATCTTAGGACCAATTTCATTTGTTTAATTGGTGGGCATATGGTCAGAAGAGAGGACCTTGCAAGTTCAGAAATAAAAGTATGCAAGGAAGTTTCATGGGCAATTCCCATTGTGAGGACAAATTCAAGGAACTTCCAGGTTCCACGTCCACGAAGAAATTTTTTTAGCTTGGGTTCCGACGCAGCTATTCTCCATGCACTGTTACATGCAGACACATTTGCTCCCTCGATTGAAGACCTATGCAATAGGGGCGTTTGCGTGATTTTGCTTCTACTCTTTAACCTTTACAGATTAATTAATTATTATCGTATATAAATCAAACAAAACAAACCATATTTACCATTTTTATTTCAGAGTGGTAGAAGTTTGTGCTGCACCGCAACTAAGGGCATGGCTGTTAAGCCCTTTCTTACTCTTTTAATATGGAAAAGGAATCCAATAATTAGGGTTCTAATACAAATACAATGTATGTATATATACACATATCAAGTTTCTCTTTTTTTATTTTTTGTCACAAGGAATTAAAAAGCTTGCGTAACCTACCGAACACCTTTGTTTAGCACATTTTTTATACGTCTCTTTCCCATTAGATAAAAAATAATTAATCAATCAACTCTAACACTTTAATTGCTTTAAGCACCTTAACTCTTTTTTCCCAAGACTGTAAAACTACTATTAATGATTTTTATTTGGAAAAAACATAATTTAAAATTTAAAATTAACTATAAACATAATAATTTAATCAAAAAGTAGAATTCGAACATAATTAAGCTTACGTATCCTAAGGAACTCTGTTAAATGTGTTAATTTGTAAAATATTATCATTATCTTTGTACATAATTTCCCTTAACCAGCAAGATTAAAATTTACACTTTCAAATAAATTACTACTTACATACTTTCAAACATCCAATAACGTAAAACCCTCAGTTTAATCTTTACCAGAACTGTAAAACTTCCTATACAAAAAATGGGTCTCCCAGTGTAAATTTTGCATGCGATTAATATTTCATAGATATAGATATTTCTTATTATTCATTGAATATGTAGCAATCATTACCAAAATAACCCTTTTTGTATATATATATATATATTTCTAATTACAGTTGTATATGGAATTTACATTATAAAGTGAGAACAAATTCGTGAGAGAAAACGTGACAAACTGGCAAGAATTTTGGCCAAGACACAGAGGGACGGTAATGGTAGCACCAGTGTAAAATAACAGGACTAATTTGGTCATTGCATAGCAACACCAGCAAACATCAAACCTGGTCAATTCTAGGAAGTTTTAATGCAGAAACGAGTAAATGACCTGACCTTTTAACAAACTTACAAAATCAAATATATATTATTATTATATAATAAAATGCTCCCTTAAACCCTTTCTCTCTCTGTCCCTCCTTTCCTTCTATAAATAAAATCCCTCCACCATCTCGCTTCCCCTATCTCTCTCTCTTCATTTTTCCTTGTTTCTCTCCTTTTAGGTTTTAACCCTTTCAGGCTCTGCTCATTTTCTCCGCTCTGTGGGATTCTCGACCGTATAAGAAGCATCGACAACAATTCTCTCGACAAAACAGCTTAAATTTTGGTAAGCATTTTCTTCGGTTTTATATTTCATTCCCTAATATGTCTTTCTCTGCATATTATTTTTACTTTTACGAAGCATTAATGTCGTTTTGTTCCATCGTATTATCCCCTTTCATGCATTTTCTTGTTTGGTTTGTCGTGCTCGTGCATTAGATCTTTCTTAGTTTTGAATTATAGCATTGAAAGTTGTATTTTCCTTTTACTGCCAATGGTCAATGTTTAGATATTATGGTAATTCCCATTTTTTTAAGGTTTTACTTATTAAATTTTCTGCGCGTTTTAGCCGAAAATGCAGCGAACAGAACGAAAAAGCGGTTGGTGTTTGTTCCTGGACCTTCAAAAAGATCCACCCCTTAGGATTCCCGGTGACGCACGCGACTGATTCGCGCGTTAGTCCCCGTGCCCACGGTATCAGCTTCTCACGCGCCGTGTAGGCGCGGTTTTACCTTTGCAAACTGTCCCTTTTTCAGCTCCTGAGAAACTTTGATTCCTTTTCCTGTTCAGGGAATGAAACAAACGGCTTGACAGCCGTACAAGTGTCACTTTGTAAGCCCCACTATTGACCGGGCGCAAAGGCCCATTTGAACCGACACTAGACTTCATTGTCTCTCGGACCCACGCCTGGACCTCCTAGTTTTAATCAGTCGTACAGAGGACTGACATGTGGAACTTGTCTGCAGGACACGCCACGTGTAGGGTTGAGATTGTAGGTTCCACCGACTAGTTTTAAAGGTAGTAGGTTTAGAAAATAGTGGTGGGGACGGGGTTTAGGACCGCCCACAAAAGGCACTTTTGGACAAACGACTTATACCCGAAAAACGGTTAGAGGCATTTTTTGATAGTGATGAGTCCCTTGTTTGTCTACATTTTTGCATGCACATAAATAAATAGTGTGGTATTTCGATTAAAGGAGAGGATAAAACATTTCGAAAATATAGTCATACGAATAATCTAAATAAGATATATAAAATTTTTATTTTTTTATATGTAATTACTTACACATTGTTATTATTTTTGTCTCTTATATTTCAGAGTAGACTATATAATATAATCTTTTAACAAATTAAGCTTCTACCAATTTCCAATTTTTCAAATTTCACCTTTTTTTAAAAAAACAATTTATTGATAAACTTTTGTAATCTTTTTTTTAGACTTTCTTTTTTCAAAATTTTATTTGTAAGCCAAAAAAAGGAAACCATATTTTATGACTGTTTTCAAAAGAGTTGGCAAGTGAAATTTAATAAGCATGCTGACTACGTACATAGTACTCGCCCTGATTCTCTTATTTAGTCTAAGCCTTCACTATGTTTGCACTTTCTGGGGAACAGGTTAAGAGTTTGTCTATCTTTTAAGACATTTTCATTCGTTATGTTTATGAAATCGTCAAGCACTTTATCCCAGTGGTCTATGCTTTTTGATGTATATCCCAATTGGTCCGATATGTTATTCATCTCACCATAGCATTGAGACGATGATCCAATTTTAAATCTTACTTCATGAAGTTTCATTCCAGTTTAATTAGAAAGTAAGATAAGGTATTTTCATGAATTTTTTTTTTTTAGAATAGAGAGAAGATGAATTTAAATTCTATGTTTTAAGTAAGGAGATCATACATTAATCAATATATCAAATGATCAAATACAAAACTTTTATTCAAAAACATTTATAGTTTCATGAAGTTTATGCATTTGAATAATATGCCAAGAGCAATAAAAAATCCTTTGCCTTTCTACCAACTCGTAAATAAAAAAAAAAATCACCGTTATTATACGGTAAGAATTCAGAACCAACTATCAGGACAGATTCTTTTAATTTACATTAAATAAACTTGTATCTCTATGCTGAGATTTAGGTGACCTAACAACGGACCGCCATTAGTCTATTATATGTTGATTCTTAATTAGGTGAGAACATGAGATAAATTAACTTAAAACACAAGTCATAAGTCAGCAAGGTGTCACTAACGAGGCCATGCATTGGCTGCTTTTACACTTAATTTATTCCTTAGTTATATCAATTCCTTAACTTTTCTTAATCGCAATATTTTACTCTCTTTTACATTAATACTACTATATTTAATTATTCAAACTGCAGTTCCAGGCAGTTTCTTTGGACCCAGACATTTCGTCCTTTGTGCTGTGTCTGGTTCCACAGGACTCTCTTTTTTCACTTACTCTAAACCGTGTCTCGACGTGTCCTCCTTAAACACCCAGATGTCCCGCTAGTTCTCAATCGAACGTTTACCTCTGCGACACGTGAAATCTGTCTTTATGTACTTAGAAAATATGTTACACTTTTCCTTTGTTTTTTTTCCTTAACCCAGGTTCATGGTTTTTTCAATGTTCACACCTGACCTGAGTAGGTTCAAAAAGTCATCTAGATTTTCTTTAAAATATAGAAATAAAGAAACAAGAAAAAAGGACAAGGCAGCTCATGGCTGCATTGGATACACGTGTCTTCTTGGAACGTGTCATGTTGAGGAGCTCTTGTTTATTGGGTTTTGGTTATGCGGGGTGCACGAGTGTAACTAGTAACTAACAATGGAGTTTGGCTTCTTCTGCTGATGTTGATGAGGTGCATGTTGATCGTTGGGGTCTCTTGAGTTAGTGGATGTCAGAGAACAAATGGAAAAGAAAAGAAGGAAGATTGTTCGATAATTGATAGTTTTC